GGATTTCAACGCTATAGGCGAGTTACACTGGAAAAGCCATCTCAAAGGAACTTTCTGTTAATATTTAAAAGCTCCCCGAAGCACAGAGCTCTCAGACAAGCTCTTACATTCATAACTATGATTGAGGAAGATATTTTAATATTTTATTATTCAGCAATAACAGATCACGAGATGCTAAGGGCGACTCAGTGTAATGATGGACTATATGCTGCACTTCATTAAAACCTTCTGTGTTGGTCTCATGTAGCCCAGGCAAGCCTCCATTTCACCATGTAGTCAAAGACGACCCTTAACTCCATCCCCTTCCTCCCACATGCTAGGTTTATAGGCAAGCAACACCAATCCTGGCTCATGCCATGCTAGGGATGGACAGGGCTTCATGCCTGCTAAGTGAGCAACAGCTACTGCCCTAAACTGTCTGTTCTCTAATGAGTATGAACCAACAGTTAAACAGGAGTTAAGCATTTATTTCAACTTGGCTGGATTCATACCCACCTCTAAGACAGACCCCGAGTGTGTCTGTGAAGGGGTTACCAAAAATGTTTAACTGAGGAGGGGAGATGGGAATGTGGGCGGTACCATCCCATGGGCTGAGGACCCACACTAAATAAAAAGGAAAGAGGAAGGTCGCTAAGACAGCTCAGGTACAAGTGCTTTGTTACCATGCCCAAAGGCCCGAGTTGATCCCCAAGTCACACACAGTAGAATGCTGACTCCCAAAACTTGTCCTTATTGTCAGACCATGGCCTGAGAATAGATTCATTAGAGGGGAATTCTGGGTGCTCATGAGAAGAAAACGAGACAAGAGTCTTGTGACTTCAGTTTCTTCAAAAACACAGAATTGTTCTTGGAAGGTGCTTTTGTGCCTCTACTACGTAAAGCTGATAGGAGTGAGTTTACTTCAGATTATCCATGACCACTGGCTGTGGTTATCTGTTGATATGTCTCTGTGGAAAAACATGTTTTGCTATGTATAGCTTGTCTTTGTGATTATATGCAGCTTGAACTCAAGAACTTCATTCATGTGACCTTTCTTAGCCTTCAGAGTATAAATTATCTGGTGCTCTGGATGAAGTTGGCTGTTACCATGCGACTCAGTCAGCCTTACTTTAAGGTTCTAGTCTCCCAGGTGCCACTGCCTTTAGAGCAGTAAACACATTTTCAAATGACTCTCTCTCTCTCTCTCTCTCTCTCTCTCTCTCTCTCTCTCTGCCACAGGCTTTTGTGGCCACCTGTACTCATGTAGTCAACCCTCCTCTCTCTCTCTTACACACACACACACACACACACACACACACACAAAACTCAAATATGTATATCTGCTGTAGGAGCAGGGGCATTCCTACATGTCTGGTTAATTGAGGATAAAAGGTTGAATGTGGTAGCCCACACCTTTAATTCCAGCACTCCAAAGGCAGAAACAGGCTCTGTGAGTTTAGAGCTAGCCTTGTCTACACAGTGCATTCCAGGCCAGCCAGGGATACACAGTAAGACCCTTTCTCCAAAAATAAATGAATGAATGAACAAAAGAATGAAAGAATAAAAATTAAACAGGGACAAAGGAGAAAGCCATCAGAATGCTAGTGTGCTTACTAATCCAACCAGATGTAAACGGGCAGTCAGTCCCTCATTCCCACAATCCTGTCTTCCCCTCAGATCATTAACACACACACACACACACACACACACACACACACACACACAAAGAAAATCTCTGCCCTCCTGTAAATAGCCTCTTATGGGGTATTTGAATGCAGCAACAAGAAAAACAACTGATACAGCATTACAGGCACACATAACTGGCAATCTCCTGACCTTGACCCTTACCTGTGGGCAGTAAGGGGATGATGCTTATTCACTTTGCTCTACTAGGTTTGAACCATGTGAACAGTTGTGGTGCTAACAGAGGGTGTCTTTGAAAACATCACTCAACAGTAATTACCAAGCCCTTCCTGGTCTCTGCAGAGAGCGCAAACACAGGGCTTCCTACAAACGGGCTCTGTGATTCAGGTTTTCAATGCAGCAGATGTTTACACCGTGAAGCACATTTTTACCAACAAGCAGGCAGATAATGAGGGCTGAGAATCTCGGGCTCACAAATGAAGGCCCCATTCAAGCCTAATGAGGCTAAAATACATGTTAATTTACAGGGAATATAAAAGAAAAAATATTTTACCAGACTGGCAATGAAAGAAAAGAGGAAATCAATATAATGAAGAGATAGCATCTACTGATTTATTTCATATAGAGTGCCTAATGGAAGGCAGTCTAAACATTTACTGGATCCTGGCACAGATTGTCCTATTGAATTCTCAAACAAACAAACCTCTTGAAGGATTACTACTTTAAGGCAGGTGGGGTGGGAGTGGTACACACCTACTATCCCAGCGCTTGGGAAGCTGAGACAAGAGAGAGAAAGATTCCAGACCAGCTTGGGCTCCATAGCCAGATACCTGCCTCAGAGAATAGATGCAATTGTCATTCTAATTTTAGGACAGATAGTTTAGTTTGAAAGGCTACACTGGCACATGTTGAATATGTGTATCGAAATACAAGCAAGATGGCTCAGCAAGTAAGGGCACTTCCTGCCAGGCCTGGCCACCTGAGCTGGATCCCTGCAGCCTACATAGTGGAAGAAAAATAAAAAAAAAAAAAAACACACACACACACACACACACACACACACACACACACACACACACACACACACATTAAAACAAACAAACAAACAAACTTGTGATACAGCCCCACTCAGCCTCATAAATAATGAAAAGACAAAGAAGGGAAGAAAGACAAAAATCTCTTAATCTGGTTCAGTCAGTAAAACAAGATATAATGCTAAAAAGAAGTTTTGAATAGGAACCACATTTAAAACAAATCTGAAAACACACATGCTTCTACTCTTTGGTATTTGTTTGTTTCTTCATTGTGTATGCACGGGTTATCGTCTCACTCACTTATTTTTAATTGGTTGCTGTCTGCGTGCTTGAAGTGCTGGGGACAGAACCCAGGGCCTCACAGATCCCAGGCAAACACTCTGCCACTAGTCCATGTCCTCAGTCCTGTTTCAGGATGTGATGGTGCACACCTGTAACCCCAGGGGAGGCTAAGGCAGAGGCTTAAGCTAAGGCTAAGGACAAGGTAAACCTGGGCTACAAAATGAGTCCAAGGCCAGCCTGGGCAACTTAGCAAAAGCCTGCTTCAAAGTAAATAGTGAGAGAAGGGCTGGAGAGACAGTTCAGTGGTGCTAATCTCTAACTGATCCCCATTCTCTCAGGGAGAGCATGCTCTCAGCAGCCTGCCCCTTGCAGAATCCCAGGGAGAACTCCAGGTGCCCACAAGACAGCCACATGTCCGTACCTACTGCCGCTCTATTTGCAACAGCCAGCATGTGGAATCAGCTCAGGTGTCCATCAACAGATGAACAGGTAAACAAAATGTAGTATAAGGGGCTGGTGGCATGGCTCAGTGGGTAAAGGCTATTGCTGACAGCCTGAATCTGGTCTTCAAGTCCACATGGTAGAAGGATAAAACCAACTCCTAAAAGCTGTCTTCTGCCCTCCGAGTGACACATAATTTCACTGCTGCTAGACCATACATTTCTCTGAGAATTTTAAAAGATAAAATCTCTCAAACCAGCTCATTTTACTTTTTTGTACTTCAATACTATAACCATGTCTCCAACCATCTCTATCAGTTTTCCCCTTGGGTATTTTAGTGAGGGTTGGTACAAGTAGTACTGGACACACTGCTGAGTATGCAGATAAAACAACCAAGTGGGAAGCTGCTTGAAAGAAACCATGGGTTTGTAACAGCTTTCTCTATTTCCGAGTCACACGAACAGGTGCCAAACACACAAAAACTTCAACAGGGAAATTCACTGTCTAACAAAACACAGCAATTACTATTACCAGTAAATAACCACTAGTATCATGGTGGAACATGGCTGTAATTCCAGCACTTGGGAAGTGGAGGCAGGAAGATCAGGGGTTCAAGGTCATCCTTAGCTGCATGATATAATGGCTACAGAAGATCTTGTTTAAAAAGAAAATTATAATAATATTTGCCGATTTTTTTTCAAATTATAAATGTTTACCATAGGAAACATGACTTCAAAAGAAAGGGCAAGAGTGAGAGGAGGAGAGGGAAGGGGGGGGGAAGAAAGGGAGAGAAGAGGTGCCCATGATCCAGCCAAGCATAATAAAAAAACAAAGATTTTACTACCATATAATTTGTGGCAACATTTTTTAATAGATAAGCCATAAATTAAAAGTCAGTAATCTCTGCAGTTGGCAAGCCTCCCCTGAACCAGGACATTATTTTCAGATAGTTTGCATTTGTGCGTCATTAGAACTCCTGCCAACAGAAACCTTTGAACTTAAGAGCAATTTCAAAACCAAATAGTGTCTCTTTCCTGACCAGAGATAACATG